ATTTAATGTAACTATTCACTGCCCACCTCTGCTCTGAGCCCTGATACAAGATCTTGCAATATTGTGTAAGATTGTGTAGGACTTGGATTAAAACTGACATGAAAGGCAAAGTCATCTAATGGGTTTTCATAGTTAAAGAACAAACTGTCATAATATTCTGACAACGTTGAGTTTATATTTAAAAACAAACTCATAAAAATGTGGATTTTTCATCTGAGAACATTTGTGATTATTATGTGCGCCCTGCTACAACAATTGGGTGGTAATTATTGGTCTCGTGCACAAAATTGCAGCTGTGGCCCGAGATTTTTTCCAGTTGTTTAACTGTGCATGAATATCCCTCTATTTTCTTTCTCTAGTGCTGGGACTGTTTATGCACACATGCACGTAAATGAAGCAACACAATTTCCAGCAAGAAATTCTGCTTTTTTGTTTCCAAACTTTCCACTGATGTTTTATCAGCGTTGTAGAAAAAGACAGGCTGTCTGACCTGAACTTGTTCTACTGCTTTACAGATGCAGCTTGTACAGAATCATTCATTTAAACAAGAGAAACTTTACTGAATGATTTCATGCATGTTAACGTCACATCATCATGATGTCATTCTAGTGAAACAGTTATATTTTGGTAGATATTTTGGTTGTGTTTCTAAAAAAGTGGGACCCAACATGTTTCCAGCTGGGGGAGAATGGATACGGTGCTGATCCGTTCTACAAAAACAAGATCCATCCATTCCCTCAGAGCCAGTCGGAGACAGCTATTGTGAGGTTGTGTTACCTCCAACCTTTGATGAGGTTGCCGGCTTGTCGTTGGTGTGGATGATAGTTGGAGAACGGCTGTGCTTTATGTCCTTGCATGACTCAAAGACAAACATATGCTGCTGACACAGTGCCAGTCTGTCTGAGGGAGAAAGGGCAGAGCGAAGGGGTGGGTGCAGGGGGCCGTAGTCTCAGGGGAAAGGCTCAGAAGCCACCCATGAGACTACAAACATGTTAAAATAGCTGCGCACAAAATGTTAATTTTCCAAAAACTAAAGGCTGCACGAGCAACACACACACAACAGAGGACAGGGGAACAGAAAATCACTGCAACCAAAACTTAATTCATTCATTCAATTCATTTAACACTTAACTAATTTTTTACATATTAGAGATAAAATAGTGCTAGAAATTTAATAAAATTTAAACAAAAAAAGAGTCAAAAAGTGCCTCATGTTCCTTAAAATGTGATGACAAGAACATGGAAAAGGTCCAACTTTCACTGAATGAACTTGTATAAAATATATAGACTTTGGTACATCATAAACACAATAGTGAGTTCCTTGTACATTCTCCTTTGAACGTGTTTCAAATCAGGAGTAATACTCCAGATAAAAGGCGGTTCATAAATATAAACACTTAAATCACTCACAGATTTAAAATTTACACAGCTTGTAGGAGGGAAAGCTCTGAACTCAGCTGGAAATCCTGGCAGTCTGCTTGGATTCCAGCGGTGTTGAGCATCAAAACCACAAACCACTCCTGCGCCATAATTCCCCTCTCCTTTGTCCGTGTACATTCTGGGCGTTCCAGTCACACACACACACACACACACACACACACACACACACACACACACACACACACACACACACACACACACACACACACACACACACACACACACACACACACTCACACACCAGTCCTACCTGAGAAAAAGTGAGCTTTAAAGCCTTTCTTGGAAACGGTGTTGTCTGACTTGAACTCGATCCTCATGTTGTTGTATTGAGAGGTGATGACCTCAGGGACTTCAGTGCCACAGTATTTACCATGCAGCTTAGAGTCAGACGAGAGGCCGCTGCGCACCTCTACATAGTCATATTTACACACCTAAGCACACACATGGGACGAAGGTACTGTTAGGACCTCACACTGCGCACCTGGAGATCAGCACGCAGGCAGATGAACGTGCTCACCTCATTTCCTTCTAGCTCAAAAGCCTCAAACTGCATGGAGATGCGGTACTGATTGGGAGCCACTACCTGCCACACACAGTTCTTGTTTGGTGGATATTCTTTGGGCCAGCCAGGAGTGCTGATAGTTCCATTCAACTTGGACAAGAGGCCGCCACAAGCCGCTGCAAACACACAAATTACAATAGAATACATTTTAATGTTCTATTTGCTACTAAACTCCAATATGGCTGCTGCTGCAGGGGTGGCCAAAAGACTGAACGACCTATTCAATAAACAGGCTCGTTTCCTGATATTTTACTCAGTTAAAACACACCCTTGTCCCTCGATTACAAAGTTAATAAAATTGAAGAAGTTGCCGGAGCACGATGGAGTTAATGTTCTCAGGACCTTCTTAACTTTTTTTATTAATTAATAGTTTTTCAAATGTTTTGGTTGACATTTAGGCTTTTTTTTAACAGGTCCTCATACTTTGATTTGTCTTCTCAGTAGCAGTATTAAAGCTGTTGTGGTGAATCTGCAGACAAGGTGTTGAATGCCAACACGATCACTGAACACTCACCCCTCCCCTCGGGTATTTTCCCAAGACATTTCTGCCGGAACCGGAAACTTGTGTTGCCGGAGGAAACAAGACAGAGCTAAACACCAGTTGCTGTTTTCAGGTCCAAATGTCTTTTATTGCCCATGACTTCAAATGGTGCTTTTCTTTTTGGGACTCTGGTAGTTTGTCCTAAAGTTGAAGCAATAGCAGCCGGCTGTTTCTTCTCCTCCGATGTTACTGAGCGGAGAACCTCTCACACCAGCTGTGTTCTGTTGCAAAATGCATGAGTGTGTAATGAAGGGAGGACCCAGCGACGTGTGGTGGTTAGGCGAGACTGAACCCCGGATGGTCCAATAGTTGCTTTCTGTCCAAAACATGTAATTGGCGGAGATTTTTAGAAAAATACGAGAACCACTTTATTCCTTTTTTTCATGTTTTTTATTTATCTCCACAATATATTTATGGCTACACTATGCTAGAAAGTTAAGGTGCATGAAAAATGTTTTATGTGGATTTGTTTTCCAAACTTGCTATAGCAGCTTGTCTTTCAAAAGCCAGTCATCTGGAACGTTTCTTATCTATGTTTGGTTTGGGAAGAACGTCAACAGTTAGGACCAGCTCATGATGTTTTGGATCGCTGAATTATTTTCACGGTTTCAAAAATACTTAAAATAAGACAGTTTTCCTCTCCACTATCACTACATGCTTGCTTAGAATAGGGATTGCTGTGAAGACACTGGCACAACAAGTCAGTGACTCGATGCAACCTGCTGGGTTTCTTACATAGGAAACGTTTAACTATTGGCTTCAATTGGAATGTTGATTGTGTGAAGAAGAAGAAAATATCATTTCTATAGCGCCTCTCAAGATAAAAATCACGAGGCGCTTCACAAAAACAAAAAAATGTAAAAATATAAAAAATAATTTAGATAATGGTTACAAATATATTTAAAATGAACAAAAAATAGACAATTGTGATTAAAAAAATAAAATGTTAAGAAAGAGAGAGAGTGAATAGGAAAGAGGGAAATCAGTGGATCCTGAGGAAGGTGGAGTGCCTTGAGACAGCTCTTATCATGAATTGGCGCTATATATATAAACTGAATTGAACTGAATTAAAATCCTGATAACCATTCCTGAATTTAAGTGGGAGAAGACAAAAATGTGAAGCAGGTTTACAGAAATAAAAATGATAACAGCTGCTACTCTTGTTAAGAAAATCACCGATTTTCCTCTCTCAGTCTCTCAAGTGGTTTACTCAGTGGTTCCAATTTCTGTTTCATTACACACATTTCATCTGTTTTGTGGAATTGAAGAATTCTGAAGCCATGCAAGCCACTGGATCAACAATCTACAGTTAGTTTGTGCATTTTGTGGTTGTTTACCTGTTGCTGTGAGCTGTTTGTTTCTGATTTGTTAAAATTATATTCAAAATAAATATAAAGCATCTCAAACAACAATGTATGTAGAAAACATATAACTCACACACATATAGACTGGTCATTACCTTCACAGCTCTTTTTATCTGGGGCCAGTTCATAACCTGGGTCGCAGGCACACTTAAAGCTGCCCAGAGTGTTTACACACCTCTGCTCACATCCACCGTTGTCTGGCTTGGCACACTCATCTTCCTCTGAAAAACACAAATGCCAGAGCATGTAACTGATGCGTTGGTGTAAATATGATCCTCTGACACGCGCGCGCGCGCGCACACACACACACACACACACACACACACACACACACACACACACACACACACACACACACACACACACACACACACACACACACACACACACACACACACACACACACACACACACACACACACACACACACACCTTTGAAATAGTTTGCAGCAAAGCCAGCCTTGTTCACTGTTCCGTCTGAGACAAACTTCATCCGCAAAATGTGTGATGTAGAGCGCACATCTTCTGGTTTGTCATAGCCACAGAATCGACCAATCAGAGGGCTTGTTTCCAGCGGGCCATCGCGAACCTCCAAGTAATCATAAGCACAGCTGTCGTGCCTCTCGATCTGAAAAATGCACAAACTTCTTGTTAGATACATGCAGCAAATTCTCACAGGAAAGAACTAAGACCAAAGAGTTTTGCTGCTGTTTTAAAACTGCTCCAGTCTTCTAAACGTCACCTTTTTTATGCAGCACAGTGTTATAAACCCCACAAAGTCTATAATCTCACATTACATTGTAAGTGGAAATATTGGGTCCTTGTATGCCCCAGAGGTGCTACATGCTGCTGCTAGTGACATTGAAGCTTTAAATACCCAAAATGTATGAATGTTTAAACATTCATAAAATAACTTTACATGAACTGTTTAGCTGCGTAGGAGCTTGGAGCTGATTGTAAATAGAAGTAATGCCCTTTGTTTTAGTTTCATTCAGATTATTTATCAGCTCATCAGTCCTGACCAATGTGATGCCATGTCCCCTAACAGAGGCTGTTGGGTTAGGGAGGAGAACGCTTTTGTTCTGGATTAGCGCAAAATAATTATTATTTATTGACATTTTCACAAAATACTCAAAAAAAAAGTAGGGAGGGAAATTTAAGGGAAAATAGTAAGACAGAAAAAAAGCCAGATTGCAAAATACCACTAAAGCAAAACAGGAAATAATTCTCAGCTGACTGCTTTAGTCCTTACAAACACACACACACACACACACACACACACACACACGCACGCACGCGGGGGTGGTGGTGGTGGTGGGGGGGATCACCTCGAAGGCCTGGAAGCTGAGCCCAACATTGTATCCCTCAGATACGGCGATCCTCCACACACACTCTTTGGAGGGCCTGTAGTCATCAGGATAGTTAGGAGACTGAATCTGCCCTGAGTCCTTGGTGATGTCTCCTCCGCAGATCGCTGAACAGCAGAAGAGAGACAGAAAAGAGACACAGACCAGACAGGATGAATTAGCATCAACTTAGACCACAGACACACAAAACTCATTCTGAGTATGTCATGAATAATGAACGGCCCAAGAAAACTTCCTGTAAAATTCACAAGGTCATCAAATATCCACCTTTGTTTCATCCAGCTGTGGCATTAACAGCCACTCGTCTCACATGCACTTGTTTTATAACTGCTAGCTCATTATTTTCTCTTTTTAAAGAGGAGTTACCTTCATAAACTGCAGCAAAACCTTTTCCAACCCAGTTACTGCTGCTGCGAAACTCGATCCACATTCTACTATCAGCTGAAATCAAAACGCCAGGAATTTTGTCTCCACAAAACCTGCCTGTAAAACACACACACACACACACACACACACACACACACACACACACACACACACACACACACACACACACACACACACACACACACACACACACACACACACACAGAGATAACATCGTATGTGACATCACTACTTCCAGTTGCGAGTGTGTTTAATTCAGTAATCTCCAGACAAAAACAGCCTCCTGCTTTACTCCGGTTTAAAGCTAAATTATAATACTTGTTTAGCACAAACTTAATCTATCATCAAAGGCTGGGTGTTCATTGAAGAAACATTTAATGTCAGCATTTTAGCATAAGGCCATCTTATGTTAACCCTAACCCATCTTTAGAATAACTTTTTTGTTTCACAAATTCTCACTTGATTTACCAGCCTCTGCTGAGTGTATTGTTAAGGACTATTATCTATTAATTCATAAAGGTTAACTCAAAATCTGTAAAACCGACTGAGTTTCTGCTGGTTTGGTCTCCTTGCAAGCCATCCTATATATGTACAAATATAATTTAGCTACGACTCATAGCCAGTAGTAGCTTGTCCACAGTCCCACCAGTCTTACAGGAAGAAGAAGAATAAGAAGACAGGAGTCACAAAATGCATTAAAAAAACATGAAAATTAAACTAAATGATCTATACATCATACATACTATAAGTGCTGTGTATAATCTGCATTTGAAGTATCTTTCCGGAGTTTTCCCCTTTCAGACAATATTTATGATTTGTCAGAAATCCGTAAAGGTGATTATCTTATCGTGTACTGCGATATAATGTAAGCAATACGTCTTTTTTTTTTGGTGCTAAGCATGCCCCCTGCCCCGCAGAGCTCTGCCATAGGAAACAGAGCGCCGGCCAGAACTAACCAATAGCGTTAGACTACCGCTTAGATGCTTCAAATTTAAGGAATACCTCGGCTGATGCAGTTGATGAACTTTTCACGGACAAGTCTTTAGAATATAAATATATGAAAACACGTGACATGAGAATAATACTCGTAAAACAGCATGTTTTACCTCTGTTTGTTGGCTACAAAAGCACATTTATAAACAATAAACCATCTTAAAAAAACAGATCGAGGGACTATTTGTGTGATATGCTTGTCAGCCACTAGATGGTGGCATCGGTTAACAGAAATACTCTGGAAAAATGCTTTAATTGTAGTTTAAAAATGTTATTTCAGACTTTTACTATGGCCGGGTCATCTTGTGGCACATTTCCTGTTCCTTTTCAGGCACAGCAATCTTTACCATAGACCTACGCTAACTGGCGCTTGCACACTGGATCCCTCCAAAACAAAAAATAGGAACCTTTGGTCACAGAGGTTTGTAACTAAAACTGGGCAGAGTGTCAGCTCAGCTCAGGATGTTCACCCAGAACTGGAAGCTCTCCAAAGTTCACCGTTCGTTCTAACTTTTTTTTAATATTAGCTCCACTGTTCTTTGTTCTAGAGCAGCTGAGACCACCACATGGAGATTTTTGATTATGAGGAACTGAAAAATGATGGAATGTGGTGTCTGAGACTTGTAAATGCTCTCCAGTCGGTAAAAAGCACAAGACAGTCAGGAATCTGCTCATTGTGACAGTGGGGCATTGGATTACATGAACCTCATGTTTTCATTTATTTATTTTTTTTACCATATCATGGATTATATAGAGAGCTGAGTTAGAAGGTTTACCGGTCGATCTGCGTTCCTACCCTCACCTGTGATCACAAGCTTTGGGTGGCGACCGAAAGAATGAGATCACGGGTACAAGGGCCAAAATGAGTTTTTTTCTGTAGGTGGCTCGGAGTAGATCTGTTGCTCTGCCACGTCTAGAGGAGCCAGTTGATGTGGCTTGGGCATCTAGTTAGGATGCATCCTGGATGCCTACCTGGTGAGGTCTTCAGGGCAAGCACAACTGGGGAGGAGACCTAAAGGAAGACCCAGGACATGCTGGAGGGACTATGTTTC